CCCCCCCTATATGATAGCACATTTGAGATGACAGGTTCTCTTTAGGTGACACCTTTCCAATTCATTGGGGAATGAGAGCTGCCTGCTGAGGCAGCTGAATGTAAATACAGCATGAAGTGGCTGGGAGCAATAGCCAACCTCCTATTGCATATTTTAAATTACAATAGCCAATAGCAGGCTCGCAATTGCACCCGCCCACTGCCTGCTGTCAAACAGCAGAGGAGGGAACTGAAGGGGAAAGTTCAAGGTCGGAGGAATGCAGAGTCGCTAACGATTCTCATTATCGATTATAATCCATTTAATCACTTAGTTGTTGCAGCCCTAGAATCCACTGTCATGGGTGCACTTTGCATTCAACATTTAATTGCAAAACAAAGATTTTGTACATATAGTAAAAATACATAAAACATTAGTTTAAGATAAAAACAAGTTTAATTTCTCTACCATGTAAACATACCAACAAGTATGTTCATGACAAGTTTACTTGAAAGGAGAACTATGAGGTGAGTGCTTTTCACTCACCTCATAGTTCTAGCCAACCTGTGACAATGAGACTGTCACAGGTCGGCTCGGTAGATCAGGAGGTGAGCTAACACATACCGGCGTTCGCTCACCTCTCGATCCTGTCACGGCTTTCTACCGTGACAGGGGAGGGGTTGGATTCCCCCCTCCCCGCTCCGATCCGCCAGCGCTGACTGGCGGAACGGACGGGGGAGGGGGCGGGTACAGCTGGCTCTGCCTCTAGATAGGCAGAGCCAACTGTCAGTCACGCAGTTGGGCGGATCCCGGCATAATTCTTAACCCCATAGTTCTCCTTTAAGTTGGCCAAAAAATAGCCATGGTTTGAGGACACGGCACCAGCCACTTCCAGAGCGGATGCTAAAATATCCCTGTGCATCAGAGGACATGCCCAGTTTTAGCACAGATTCTGCGACTACTATTAGAAATACTGGCTGGACTTCTGTGAGTGCCATTAGAAGTACTGGCAGGGATCTTGTAAGTACCACTGGAAGTACTGGCAGGTATGCTAGATGTTCTGACACAGGTTCTCAGGGAAGTTCTGGAAATCCTAGTAGGGACTCTGCCATTACCAACACACCATCACAGTGGCACTAAGACACTATTTGCATGTTATTCTGATTAATGGGTCTCCCCAGGTGCTGGAATGGCAAGTGACCTGCAAGCCCCCTGCCTACAATTTAATGCAAAAGACAACAGTCTTTTGCACTGAATAGTAGGCAGGGTGCTTGCACTGTAGTATGGTCAAGAAAGGACCAATCAAAACTTTGTTTCTGTAGTCAGCTTTTATTATTTACACTTTAGATAAGAAAGTTGAACAGAGTTTTTTCCACTGTTGATGTATATTCTGAGCTACTCACTGTGATTGTGGAACCTTGTATCTGGTATGTACAATGTATATCATGAACTACAGATGTTGACAAACTTGCAACCACTACAAACATTAACCGATAAGGCTGTTTACCATACAGCAAGATAATACTCCAAATTAGGTAAAAGGTTAAAAAGAGTCATTGCACTGAAGAACTACACAACAGGTTTGGTTTAAACATCATTAACGACGTGTCTGCTTAATTGGCTATGTAATAAAGGTAGTTTTTAAAAGATCGTAGGACTTGCATGGACTAGTGGCAGAGCAGAACATTTTAGCAGTCTATAGATTTACAAGCTTGGCTTTAGAGATAAAAAAAAGTGAAGGAGGAGAAGGTAAGTCGCACAGGGTACAGATAGTACACCCGTACTGGCAGAGGGTAAGGACTGTTCGCCGAAAGGTAAGTATAGCCGGGGGGTTGGGAGAGACGGGCCCAGATTTGATCGGGTAATTCCATTTTCCCATATTACCTGGGAAAGTGAACTTACCCTTTAATGCACATTGTGTGAATAAGGCCCTGTTCACACGACGTCCGTTTTCTGTGCTGACCTGATCTGTACGCTCCTGCACTAAAAATGCATCCCAATGTATCCCCATGTGTTTAATGGGCTACAGTTCTCACGTGCGCAGTGCGTTCAGGTTACGACAGAAAAAATACTGCATGTCACATTTTGTCAGGAAACGGTCCGGAAACGCAAAATGCGTCAAAAACGTGTCAAAAATGCACTGCACTGCAGCTAACATACTGACAGCCCCACTCCAGAAAAAAAAAAAAACATTTTTTTTTTTTAACTGGAACGCATCAAAAACGCGGCAAAAACACATAGCACCGCATCTGCAGATCCACACCTGATCAGGACCTGATAACCATGTGAACAGGCCCTAGGCTGGGTTCACACCTAGGCGTACCGAATATGCGCGTTTGACGCACGTATTTACCCCGATTCGCGGTAAAAAAAATGTGCGACAAACGCGCGTTTCCAAGGGCTATCCGGCTGTATCCTAATGGATACGCGCGGCAAATACGCCCCAAAGAAGCTCCTGTACTTCTTTGGGCGTAGGGCGTTTTGCAGCACATTTTGCAGCGCGTTCCAACGCGCTGTAAAACGCTCAGGTGGGAACCATGCCCATAGGCAATCATTGGTTTTCACATGTTGAGCGTTTTACAGCACGTAGGAACACGCTGTAAAACGCCCAGGTGCGAACCAGGCCTAAAAGAGCCTCTGTCAGGGTAACAAAAATAAGAAACCTGCTGTAGGTATAAAGTGCAGATATCTGCCGCCACCTAAAGCAGTGTCTAAACCCTTCCTGACACAGCTTAATCTTGGGGCATACTAGCAAGTACAGTTTAGGAAATCCCTGATAAAGCTTGCCCTTCTCTTGCTGCTACAGTCCTACTGGCAAGTACACCCATTATGGTAATTGTCCAATGGATAGGTGTGAGGACAGGACTAGTAATGTGCAGGGTTGAATAAGGAGTGTTTGCCCGCGTTCACCAAAGATGGCACAAAATTGTCACAGACACACCCCGACCCAATCAGTTGCAGCCGAGACACTGCCCGCCCTAGAGCCATTTGTCACAAAGGGGCAGGGAATGCCACTGCCGCAACTGATTGGAACAGGGTTTGTCAGTGACACTTTCTGCATGGGCTTGGGTGAATTGGGTTTGCACCAAGCCCCCGCAAATCACTGTTAGCCACAAGATTTTTCTCTACCCTAAAGTGTTGGAGCTTTGTCTGTTAGGCCTTTCACACCCGTGCTTTGGGATGGAGTGAGTGAGTCCAGGGACGATCGTCTATCCCGAACTGCGGGTAATAATTGCATACACGTGGATTATTTGTGGACAGCCAATGACAGATGTGGCCGCTGTCACCACATCATTAACTCGAACGGGCTCAATGACCGCATCATTCGGATTGGGATTCCAGCCACCCTCTGCGAATGTATAGATAGTTATGGTGGCTGCTGCAGATATGTGCAGGTCTCCTCTAGGAGGTAGCACTTTATACCCGCAGCAGTTCCCTCCTTCCAGCTCACACACTTTTGGAACATCTGTCAACACATTATTACTGCATGGGTCCCTGTTTTGGTTATTTTTCCTCAATGCCTATTGATGGGCAGCTGACAGAACAGAAATCCATAGTAAATAAAACACATTTTCTAATAGAGTGAGGAAGCTTTAGGTTTTTTTTGCTGTCTGTGTCTGCAGTCGGGAAATTTCCACTTACTTCCTGTGCACGTGATGGGTGTTTGACCAAAAAGGAAGGGAGTAGGAAGTATAGACAGCACAGAGGATTTATTAACATATTGCTGTTCTGGTGTGACGCTTTAATGTGTGTTGTATCACATATGGACACTAGTGATGAGCCTGTGCTTGGTGCAAACCCAGTTTACCTGAGCTCACCCAAGCCTGCTCAAGACTGTGACCGTCACCTCCCCCCTTCCCAATCAGTGTCGGCAGTTGCGCCGCCGGGGGGCATTCCCCGTCCCCTTGTGACGTATAGCTGCAGGCCGGAAAATGCACCTGCTGCAACTTATTGGACTGGGCGGGGGTGTAGGGGGTTTCGGTCACAGTTTTGAGGAGGCTTTGGCAAACTCAGGCAAACAGACCAAACCCAGTCTCATCACTAACTGGCATGTGTTGCATTAGGGCAGCTCATTCAGATGAATGGGCTGCCAACGCACCAGAACAGACGAAAAAAAAGACATGCAGCATTTTTTTTAGACACAGGACACCACATGCATGGTATTGTGTTAATGTGCTTTGTGGTATGCATCAGAGGTGGCAACAAAATTTTTTAACAGTGCTCCAAAAAACTAAGGCCTAGTGTGTTGGGGTGACACAAAAAAATCAATGGCACCACAACAAGTTAACGCTTGTAACGTGTGTTAACATGCACTGCAATCTTACCATAATGCACCAGAACAGAGAAGTGTAAATGGGACCATAAATTCTAACAAAGGTTCCAATCCTTTCCCGCTCTATCCAAACCTAAAAAAAAGTTTTTTTAGAAGTTGCACCAAATGACTTTATATTCAAAAATGTGTAAGGTAAGAAAATCAGATGCTTGCTCTCTTTTTCCAACCCGTGAACATAAATGGAAGTCAGAGGTGGGTTGTTTTTTTTTTGCTATGACCAACACTCGTTCTCAGTTTGCCTTCTCCTTTAATGAACACCCCAGTTTTGTGCCCAGTATCTAAGTGTACAACTACTTACCCAGCTCCAATGCCGTGTTGAATTTTTCTAATGCACCTAAGAAATTGCTGCTCTGCTGTAAGAAATTCCCTTCTACAGACAATCTCCGTACCTTGGTCTCTTCACACAACCACTTCTCTAAGAGATTCCCAAGCACCACATTTATCTTCAGATCCATGTAAGGTGCTTCATGCCCCTCTGTTTTGCTTTGAGCTCTGTTTTTGCAGCAGCTACATTGTGGTAGCCTCTTTTCACACAAGCATTTTTTACAGAAAGTGTGTCCACAGATCAAAGAGATGGGGTCCAGCAATAGGAGTTGGCATTTTGGGCAGGAGAAGAGGTCAACTTCTTGGGACCGTTTAGGATTCCACGGTATGCTTAAACTGCAGGGGGTTTGTGCACCTTGACATTGTCCACTACTATGCGGGAGGTTGCTCTTCGTCTTGGCAAAGGGCAATTTCAGTTCTTTTTCTCTGATATTTTTAGCAATACTGTCCACTAGCACTCCAAGCTCAACGGGACAAAGCTGACCCAACATTGCTGCCTTGGTGTAAGAGTCCAGTGCATCGGCCACTCGCCCAGCCAACGCCAAGGCATCCCCTTTCTTCAGATACAAGCACCTCTCAGGCTTCGGCAGCTCATCCAGTTGAGAACCATAGATCTCTGCGGCCAATTCAAAGTTGCCAGCCTTGAAGGCCTCCTCTGCCACCCCCAGCATCTCTGAGCAAAGGCCAGGGAGGTCAAGGGAGAGTAGCTCAGAACGTTGCAAAGATCTCACCTCCATTGTAAGAGAGCTCCTGAGACTTTCTACATTACAAGAGGAAAGCCTGGAGTTTACAGTGTAAATGAGAACAAAAGGATTCCTGAGGTACGTGGTCCATCAGTCTTGCCGTACTCCAAAAGGTTGCTGTGGCTGCCATGTACTCATAATTCAATCATACAAATGCCTGCTACTGTTATACTGACAGCAGATTAAGTGTCACACCGCAATACTATTCACCGAAATCAGTTTCTTTGTTAAATAAAGCAAGTCTATTGTAACCGAGCTTGGTTAATGTCACAGAGCACAGTTCTAGTTCTTTGTTCCCCGGCCAGAAGGTGTATCTCCTGATTAGACTGGCACAGTCCAAGAGTTATGTCCCAAGTCCCCAAAATCCACTGCGCAAAATGGGTCTTGGCCATGACAAGGCAAGCTCCTGGCAGGGCATCCAAGTTGGTAGCAGCCTTGCATAGTCTTGGGCGGGCTGATTAAAGCTTCACAAAGTGTTTAACAAGGTGAGCAGCTGTAGTCTCCAGGTTAGGACAAAGGGATTCCAGAGTGACAGGTCTAGGACAGGAGAGAATTCAGTGCAGGGCTGCACACAGCAGATACATCAGACGGGTAGAGCCCTATTATAGTAGAGCCATGACTTCATCTATGGGCACTGTGTATCGAGGCATCACATGTGTCCAGTATGTGGGTACTGTATGATCTGTGTATGTGTGCCCCATAGAGTGCACCGCTCGCTCTGATCCACCACACTCCCTCCCTTCCCCATCCTCTCCGAGCCGGGAGCTCATCACATGACTCTGACATCACAGAGACAGCCCTTTAAAGACACCACTGCCATGACGGCGGAAGCCCATTCATATAACAGGACGGATAGTGTTGGCGTCCGATCACATAATGCTGGGGCAGGGATAGCGCAGGTGCATTATACACTCACGATTGCCCGTTGCTGTAGAAGTGGCATCGGTCGTATGCTTTTACTGGCTCCCAATGAAGAATGTCGCACTTGAAGCGAGCTGGTTTAGGCGATTACACGTTTATTCCAGAGCAGCCTGTGTGACAGCACCTCGGATTACATCCAGATGTACACTTTTGCTTCCATTGGGGTTACTTATGTCTGCACGTGGTATACTGTGGAGAGGATAATAGTAATAATCATTGTGCTGCCTCCTAGTGGCCGCAGAACAGTCTGAGCTACTAAGGAATGCTATGGGAACACGTGATGTTATTGGCCATTGGACGCCCCCAACCCGCGCTGCCTTATATAAGCGGCTCTGAAATGTTACACAACGCCTGGGTCAGGGTGCGCGTCATGGAGCTTAGTGAGGGAATCAGTAACAGCACACCGCCCAACTGTCTCATTTGGAACCAAATCCCTCTGTTCCACTTTCCTTCTCAGATGTCACTCTGTCCTGTGTGATGTACAGATATCTAGGAAAATGTAAACTGTAAATACTAAAAGCAGGGGTGGGCAACTCAAGCCCTCCAACTGTTGTGGAACTATAAGTCCCAAGAGGCATTGCAAGAATGACACTAAGGCCCCATTCACACTGCGCGATTTGCATTTTGCGCGATATCGTCTTGGGGCTGCACTGGAAACATCGGTCAGCGCAGCCCCAAGCAGCGGGTGTGAATGGCCCTTAAAACCTTTATCTTATCTCTTAACCACTTGCTAACCGGGGTGTTTACACCTTCTTCCTGTCCAGGCCATTTTTCAGTATTCAACGCTGCGGTACTTTGACATTTATTCCGTCATGCTACGCTTTACTGAAATTAATTTTATACCATTTTTTGGGCACACATAGAGCTTTCTTTTGGTGGCATTTAATCACCACTGGGTTTTCTTTTCTTTTTACTATATAATGAAAAATGTCCCGCAAATTTTGAAATAAAAAAAACCTGTTTTCCCTACGTTATATCATAAAACATTTATTATTACCCACATGTTTGGTAAAATATAAAAGACGGGGTCACGTCGGGTAAATAGACACAAAACATGTCAAGCTTTAAGATTGCGTGTGCCAGCGAAATTGCAATAAACTACCATACCCTAAATTGGCCATAGGCAACGCTTTAAAAGCTGTTACCGCTCATCAGTTTAGTGTTATCAGTGATTGATGGCCCTAGAATTATTGCTCTCACTCAGATGTTCGCGGCGATATGTAACATGGGTAACGCAATGGACGCAATCATCGTTTTCGCACGTAGGTGCACCAGACGCATGTTTGCATGTGTATGTGGGGGGGGGGGGGAGGGCGGGGGACTGCAAAGAAAATGTTGTGTTTTTTTAAAATTGCTTTTATATGTGACATTTACTTTTTTTATTTTTTTTTGTAACTTTCATTTTTATAAATCTTTTTTTCCACTTAACTTTATTGCTATCACATAGGGGGCTAAGACGCCCCCTGTGTGATAGCCAATTTTCAGTGACATGTCCTCTTTATGGAGACATCAGGGGTCTTTAAGACACTTTAAGACAAAGGTTGGGCCAACTTAATATTGAACCCTACGGACTAAGACTGGGAGGCCATTAAAGTTCATGTGCGAGTAAAGGCAGGCGCCCCAATACTTTTGGCAATATAGTGTGTGTATATATATATATATATATATGCATGCATCTAACTATTTCCTATGAATCTTTTTGCAGATTGCGTTCAGATACTTTTTTTCTGCAGCCAGTTTTTCTGTGATTGGGAAAAAACAGTAGTCGGTGCATCTAGGAATCGATGTTAACCTCTAACGCACCAAAGCAAATGTAGATACATGTAACACTATTTGATACTAGGATTTGGTACCAGTTGGATCTAAACATGTATGCTTGTAAATGGAATTAAAGGAGAACTATGGGGTTAGGGCTTTTCCCCATAGTTCTCCTTAGGGTAACGGGAGGACACAAACTAGCGTCCTCCCGTCGCCCTCAGCTCAGTATACCGCGAGCTACAGCTCGCGGTACACTGAGACGCCGCAGCTGAAGCGGATCCCGACAATTATGTCTGGATCCGCCCAGCTGTGTGAGTGACAGCTGGCACTGCCTATCTAGAGGCAGAGCCAGCTGTAACCACCCCCTCCCCCGTCAATTAGGCCTCGTGTATGCAGTTCAAGCCTATTCGACTGTGTATATCATGCTTTTAAGACATAGACCTTATTCCAGACTATGCCGTGTAGTTGCTGGTTTTAGACACGTCAGGTATGGCCTCATTGTGTTAATTCTCACATATGAAAATTGTCAAGCTCATTATGCACCTATCAGGGATCCTATCCACATGTCTTTGTATTATGTACATGATATAGATGGCTTAGGAGTACTGACTGTTCCCCACCTTCATGGTGCATTCTGCATGATCATTGACATGCTTTAGTAAAGTGTTGTGTTATAAAGCACCATAGTGAGTTTTTTTGCCAGTTATTTTACTTTAGGAAGTACTGGAACTAAACATTGTGGTGTGATTTGAAACCATTGTTACTACTGTGCATGCTTTTGTTAGGCGTTTTTAGATACACACCTAAGCGCAGCTGGTGTGGAGAAGTCCTAACGGTCAAGGTCCTGCAGAGACAGACAGTGAGGGGAATTTATCAAAACTGGAGCAGATTTGCACTGCAGCCAATCAGCTTCTCTCTCTCAAATCTTACCTGAGCAAACTGAACAGAGAAGCTGACTGGTTGCCACTCACAACTGCTCCAGATTCTGTTTGCTCCAGTTTTGATAAATTCCCCCCAGTATATTTAAATGATTCACAGTTAGTGTGCAGAGCTATGTATTATACATGTTTTTAGACATAATAGAATATTGTGTAACAATTCTATGGAAGGTTGCTTTTACTGCTATAGACTTAGTATGCTGAAGTAGTGACCTGCATACATATGTACATCAGCTTCCTTATTCTGTCCATAGTGCTGGAGTGGTGGCAGACTTTATGAGCATCGGCAGTCTCCTAATATTAGTTATATGTCATAGTTGTGTTTGTCATTTATCCACTTCCTTCTTGCTTGATGGTGCATTGCAGTCCAGGTCTTGGACATGCAGAAGTGGTTGCAAGCTTCTGCTCTCACATTCCAATGTTGGGAAAGACAAGTTTACATAGTATGCACAGCATAAGCCCTGTATAACTGAGGGGGGGGGGGGGGGGGGTTTTGTTATGTAGACCCTAGTATCAGCTGTCAGATAGTCCTGGTGTGCTGAACTTATGCAGATGTAGGTAACTTGGGTTGCTGTTTTCTGCTTTGAGGACACTGTCAGAGCCACGTGTCTTAGAGGGGTCTGAGTTGACGAGGAAGGCCTCTCTTGCAGCTCAAGTCCAAGAACTCTTGGAAATGGAACAGGTGTAGGACAGGAGAGGCACGAATGCCGGTAGAACCAAAGTCCAAGACAAGCCGGATCAGTAACGGTCGAGCAGCGAGGTACCAGGACAGTAGACAAGACGTAACCAGGGAGACCCTTTTAGGCTAGGTACTACCCTTTGGTTTCCAAGAAACCTGCTTGTCCATCACTGTCTCTTGCCTTGCGTTATATAAGGGCTTGTGGCTTAGAGAGAGAGAGTGCGAGGGAGAGGTTGTCTGTCCCACAAAGTGTGTGGATGGGTTCCCCTGTGACAATGGGCCATAAATACTACTGCATCATGAGTCCGTTAGTACCTTGTTGGAGGAGCTAAGCTATAGATTGGGGGAAAGACAAGCTAGGAAGATATTTTCCCTTCATGTGTGTACTAATCGTGTACTGCTTCCATTATGCAGGATGAAGCCTTATATGCAACCCCTGAATGCTGTGCTATTTATTTAGAAAGAACATTTGAACAATGACTAGTATTTTGAGCGAACATGAAGTTGTTATAGTAAAACCTGACTATGCATTCTGTGCTACCACAATAGTTGTATAAAATATGACAATTCATACAAATGTTAAATGAGGATTCATATAGTTTATTTTCCTTAAGCCATTTACTCATTGGTATTGTATGGCTAATTATTATACTGACATCTTGTGGTCATTTTGGGTTATTGCACCATGTTTTTTCTGTGTTCCCTCTCATTGGTTTTCCCTTTCTTCATGAGACTAGTCGTTTTCTAGTGTCACGGCTGACAGTAACATGACCACATGG